TATTTTCTCTTACGCGAGGCTGATTAGATAACCAGTTGGGCAAGTGGTAAACGGCCAGGCGGTAAACTGACAGTAACTCGATAAAGGTTGTTGGCAGTAACATACTAGTATAGCATTAATTGGTTAGTCGACTATCAGTAAATCCTGTTTTGAAAGAAAACTGACTCGCACGAAACTACACCACGAATTTATCCCGACTAGAGCCCAAGTTTTTAAACTCTAGCCAGGTGTAGTATAGGGCAAGTATTTAATCGTCAAACCCGAGCCGGTCCATAAACCCCTACTTCAATCGCTTAGGTTGTTATCTAGTAAAACAGTTTTGGGTTTAAAACTAAGAAAACTACAAATAAAAACAAGCAAGTAAAGTACATCGAGGTCGTCTCAATGAGAGAAGAGTTCACTCGGGTGTTGTTCCCCCTATCTAACAACTACGACTTGAAGAATCGAATAACCATGTGTGGTTAGGGGGTTACAAACCGTAGGGAAGTCTAACAAGTAGCCAAAGCTACCCTCTTAATCTCTAGCTCGAGGAAAGGGATACGATCTAAGCCACTAATGTGACCCTCTCGACCTATTGACTAACAAATGGTTGTCCAACAAGTAGCCAAAGCTACCCTCGTAGTCTCTAGGTTGAGGAAATGGGATACGATCCAAGCCGCTAATTCGACCATCTCAACCTATTAACTAAGGAATGGTTGGACTTCACCCTCAAATTGGAGTTCGGACGACCACCCACAACCAAACCCTAAGTGCTAATACGAAATAGGAGGTTTTTCCTGCATTAACCTAACTATGAGGCAAAGAATTACCCAAGAAAATCCAGCATTCAAGCCTCTTTCAAATAAAGGAAGGGGGTTTTCTCTCTACCTAGGTTAGAATGGCAATTAGATTGATAGGCTTTCACACAACACAACACAACACAATCATTCATGAATAATACCTCCAAATTCACATTAAACACAACCACACACAAAATCATTTAATTTGTACAAGCATTCACATAATGGTAGGTAGGGTTCACAACACCCAAGTGAATCGGTAGGCTATTCCATAGCTAGGCAAAGGAAAACAAGGAAAAGGAGGGAAAGAACCATGAACAGATGAAAATATTTCCTCCTTGTTGCTTGAATCTCCCTTAAGAAGAAGAAACCTTCACTCCTCTAGCTTGAAATGAGCCTCAATCTCCTTCTTCCTCCTTTGAATTGCACTTTCTCTCTAGATTAGGAAGAGGAAACCCTAATCTCTCACTAGAAATCCTCCTTTATTCTGAAACTAAACCCTAGAAAAAGGTCCTCAAGTTTCGGTCCACCCAATAACCTCCTTGAAGTTGAGGTTCTCTTTGGTGAGATGAAGTCTCAAGTCACGAACTTTGGACGAATCCATGATTGAGGGCTCGTGAACTTGAGTTGTCATGAGGCTCCACCCACGAGACCTCTTCTTTTTTTCTTCTTCTTTCTCTTTGCCCCACACCATGTAGTCCATTATTGATTGACTTTCATCGCATCCACCAAGAGGGATCGCCGATGGTTTGGCCTTGGCTTGGCAAAGAGCCTCAATGGGTCCTTCTCCAAAAGCGTGTCAAGGTCGGGTAGAAAGCATTGGTAGCATTTGTAACTCGTGGATGCTTCATCCACCCCGACCTCGTCCTCATCTTCGACACCACTAGCTCCTTCTTCTTCTTCCTCAACCTCCATTCCTTCTTCTTCACTTTCCTCCCTTTGGGAACAATCAAGATCCCCTTTTTCAATGTTTTCTTCCTTCTCTTCAACCTCTTCCTTCTCCTTCACATTCATGCCCTCAAGCATGGTTTGGAGGGCAAGATGCCATGCAAGATCATAAAAAGTATTCTCTTGCTCCTCCACACTCGTGACTTGGTCTTCAAAGTTGCTCTAGGGAAGGGTGTGAAAGTCATCAATGCAACCCTCTTGTGCATCCTCACCATGGGAGCTCTTAGGGATGAGTTCGTCTTTCTCCACACGGTTGTCATTGATTGCTCCTTCAACCTCCTCTTTCTCCTCCAATAATGAGAGGCGATAGCTTGCACAAGCTCGTGCCACCTTCTCTTCAAGTGTCAAATCGGGTGGAGGGAGGGGTTGGAAATCCATGCCGGAGCTCAATCTTCCAAAGTTCTTATGTCTTGCCTCTTCGACCTCCCTTCCTTCTTCTAATGGTAGGAGGCGATTGTGAGCAAGTTGTGCACATGCTTTCTCAATAAGCCCTCCTAGCCTCTCCGTGTGTCGAAGGAGCTCCTCCGATTACCGAAGAAAGGTTGAGTCGAAATGGTTTGCAATTGGGAGGTCCTTGCTAGAGCACCCTTCATCGGTGCCCCGGTCGGTTCGCTCCACCATGAGCTCTAATTTTCTCTTTGGCTCCGGTTGTGGAGTGGCACATGGTCTTGGGGTTTGTCCCATGAAAGCCTCCATGACCAACTCCAACTTGGATTTCACCTCGAGTTGTGGAGGGAAACCTTCTTTATATGGAGAAGCTTCTTGGTATCCCCATGATCATGGTTGCTCTTCTTGGAAGGGAGGTTGGTAGTAGAATCCGGATCCGTGACTTCCCCCTTCTTGATCGTCCCATGAAGTTCCGGGGTAACCACTCTCGGGTGTTGGTGGATACCCGCACACTTGGGCGAAATCATAAGGATCCATAATCCAATACCTACAAACACAAAAACACTAAAAAGGACAATCAAACACACACAAACCACCCTTCAAGACGAAGAGTGGTAAAGAAAACACACACGAAACACAAAACACAAACAAAAAGGCAAGATAGAAAATGCTAGAGTAACACTAAGCGACCTTTTCAAAATAATGGACCGCGGTTCCCGGCAACGGCGCCAAAAACTTGACTCACTCTGACTATCACAATAAAATCTCACCTAAGGCCCAAGTATAAACCTTAGATGGATGCAATATAGGGCAAGTATGTTTAATTATCAACCCGGGTCGGCCCATGTACCACTACTTCGTATGTTTGAAACATTATCTAACGAATGAGTTTTGGTGAAAATAAAGGTCTAAAGCTAACTTACTTTGCAAAGGTAAAATGGATTTGACACTAATTGATAAGGCCTCACCCAGGTGTTGCTCCCTCTATCTAACAATTATGACTTGAAGAATCGAACGACCGTGTGTGGTTAGGGGGCCATAAACTGCAAGGAAGTCTAACAAGTAGCCAATGCTACCCTCTTAGTCTCTAGGTTGAGGAAATGGGATATGATCCAAACCGCTAATGCGACCCTCTCAACCTATCGACTAAGTAATGGTTAGACTTCACCCTCGAATTGGAGTTCGGACGATCACCCACAACCAAACCCTAAGTGATAATACGAAATGGGAGGTTTGCCCTTAATTAACCTAGAATAGGAGGCATGAAATGCCCAAGAAAACCTATATCTAATAGAGCATCTTAGGTTAAGGAGGGTTCTCTCTAAACTAGTCTAGGAGGCCTTGAATGCCCAAGGAAACCCAACTCAAATTGAGCCTCTTTGGATAAAAGAGGTTTTCTCTCTAAATTAGCCTAGGAGGCATGCAATGCCCAAGAACACTCATCTCTAATCGAGCCTCTTAACCTAAGGAGGTCTCTCTCTAAGCTAGGTCAACATAGCACACACAATCACCATGAAAAATACCTCCACATTCACATTAAACACAACCACACACAAATCATTCAATTCATACAAGCATTCACATAATTGTAGCTAGGGTTTACAAACACCCAAGTGAACGAGGACTACTCCATGCTAGGAGAAGGGAAAACACAAGAGAGGGAAAGGAAAACCATCAAGAAGATTAAAGCCTTGCTCCTTGTGTTGAAGAGATCCTACTTTAGGGGAGGAATTCCCAAATCCTTGCTTGGAGATGAAACCCTAGCTTCTCCTCTTCTTTGGTTCGTCACTTTCTCACTCTTAAATCTGAAGAAGAAGAAGTTTCTCACACTAGGTCTCTCTCTTTCTTATTCCTTTCAGCTGGCTCTTTAAATTGAGATCAAGCCCAGTTCACGGTCTGAGTTCACGGTCGTGAACATCGAAACACGTTCGTGAATACAGTGTCTGAACCAAAACGCACCGCTTCACATTTTGGGGTTCACGGTTTTTGGCTTCTGTTCACGGTCATAGCGACCGTGAACAACCTTGCGTCAGTAACCTCAAAACCCTCTATGGACGCTCCTTGGTTCACGGATTGTGGCTCCAGTTCACGGTCCTGTAAGACCGCTAACTCCAATGGGCAATGGCAGACAGTGAATTGTGGCTGACTCCTCCTCTTTGCACGGTCTTTGCTCCTTTTCTTCCAACTTTCGACTCGGGGTTTGGTTTCGCCTGTTAGGATATGAAACACAAGAAACCTTGTGTAAAACCACCATTTTTGGAGTTCAATTACAACAAACGTCAAAGCGAAAATGGGGACAAAAAGTGTACAATTATGTCCGAATAAAAAACCAACCCTAAATTTCTGCATACCAATCAGAACTAGACATAATTTCTGGTTTTTCCGATTGGACTGACCAGTTCGGCTTATAAAACCATGATGCGAAATGGTAAATTGATCATTTTGGTACGCTAAATTGGATTATGCTATGCTGGGCTCGATGTGCCCTTGTGTAAAACCACCCTTTTTGGAGTTCAATTGCAACAAACGTCAAAGCAAAACGGGGACAAAAAGTGTACAATTAGGTCTGAATAAAAAAAACAACCCTAAATTTCATCATACCAATCAGAAATAGACATAATTTCTGATTTTTCGGATTGGACTGACCCGTTCGACTTATAAAACCATGATGCGAAATGGTAAATTGATCATGTTGGTACGCTAAAATTGGATTATGCTACGTTGGGATAGGATAATAGGCCAGAAAGTGGGAAAAGGAGAAGCCCAACCAAAATGGTAGAGAAAAGGGGCACATCGAGCCCAACAACAGCTCAATGCCTTCCGAATCATAGACGCTAGTTATAGTTCGCGGCGTTTCACCCAAAAGAGGAATAGTTCACGGCGAGGGGGAGAGATAGAGCGAAGGAAAAGCCTCGGAGACAGAGAGAGAGAGAGTGAGCTGCGCGCCGCTGCACCTTTTACCCGTCGTTTTGAAGGGTTTTCTTCGTTTTGCGCTGAAAGGGCACCCAGTGGTGGGAAACGAGTCAATTCGGCGGGGTGAAGAAGGTTCAACGAAGCCAAAGCCAAATTCTGGAGGATCCTCCGTCGTCGTTTCAGCTCAGGTTCGTAGAAATTCCGTCCCTCTGCTTCTCCGCCCCGTTTTTGCCTCTTTTGTGTCGATTCATTGCTCCGCTCGCCGCAGCTATGGCCGGCGAACGTCGACCCGTAAATTCCACGGCCGCCGGTGCAGGAAGCGTTATGGACGGTGTAGGGATTGTAAGGTTGCAGGGATTTCTTGGGGGATTTTACCCCGTATCAGATTCGTCTGTAAATCCTCCTTGCATGTTGATTCCGTATTTTTTTTTGTTTCTAATTCAATTTTAGGAGGTATTTCGTTTTTGCTTTTGTGTGTGTAGTGTTTTTCGGGAGCTGCCCAGATGAGATTGGCTTGAGAAAGGGGTGAAATTGTGTGTAAAGCTGCAACCTTTGGTTTTAGTTTCTAGGTTAAACGCTTGCATGCGGAAGTATGTACCTTTTGATGCTCGGTTATGGGGTTTCGAGCCCAATGCTAATTTTCTTTACTAGGACTCCTGTAGTTCTTAAGTTAGTAACTAGAGTAATTTCGGTTACATTTGGGTTCTATAAGGATCCTGTCAATAACTTTGCATGCTGTAGAATGGCAGTTTATGTTTTGGTTCTATGTGTTAACTCTTCGAGTGCTTTTGTTTGTTATGAACAGTAAATGGACGTCAGTCCTGGACCAGTTGATGTCTCTGTGCTTTATGAACAAGACAAGCATGTTTCTGCTGCTGTATGGGAAGGCCAGGTGAGCAAGCTGTTGTGATTCGAACAAAGTTCTTGTTTGTTTGTGTTGTCTGTACGATTTTGTTGAAGTTTGATTGAATTGGTTGATTCTTCTATGTGCCAATGTGAGTTTTGGGTGATTTATGTCACTTTTCCATTTTGACTCTTCATTTGATGGATAATATATAGGAGCGAGGTGCCCTTAGATGCCATGAACATACATCGAAGTTGGGGGAATGGAGCCTGACTCCAAGACAGATAGAGTTAGTAGAGAAATCAGGATTCGGATTCTTGAGAAAGATTCCAGCCATTAGTCTAGACAACCCTCTAATCTCAGCCTTAGTCGAGAGGTGGCGAAAGGAAACAAACACCTTCCACTTCACTGTTGGTGAAATGACGGTGACACTTCAGGATGTGGCGCTGTTGCTTGGTCTTGCTATCGACGGGAAGCCGGTTATAGGCATCACACACACAACCTGTGCAGCGGTTTGTGAGAAGCTTCTAGGGAAAGCCCCGGATTCTAATTACGCTAGTGGTGGGATGGTGAAGCTGAGTTGGCTGAAGGAGTACTTCTCTCACTGTACTAAAGATTCACCTAAGGAAGAGGTTGAACAATGCACTCGTGCTTATCTTCTGTACCTGGTAGGGAGCACAATTTTCTCGACCACCACTGGTAATAAAGTTCCAGTTATGTACCTCCCGTTGTTTGATAACTTTGAAGAATGTGGGACGTATGCTTGGGGGGCTGCAGCATTGGCTTTCTTGTACCGGGCGCTTGGTAATGCGTGTGTTAAGTCCCAAAGTACTATTTGTGGATGCCTCACACTTCTACAGGTTTACTATGTTCTTCCTTTACTTTCATACTTGGTGTTACAATTTATCATGCTCATGGGATCAGTGAGTTGAATGAGGCAGAAATAGTCTTCATACTTTTTAACCCCATATTTCAAACAGAATGCTATAATTGACTGGTATACTCCTTGTAGTGCTGGAGTTACTTTCATCTCGATATTGGGCGTCCAAAGCTCAACCGGGATCCTATCCACGATAGCTTTCCGTTCGTACTGAAGTGGAAAGGAAAGCAAAGTGGACCGACAACAAACCGCGATGTGGTCTTTTATAGAAAGGCATTGGATTCATTGAAACCAACTGATGTATGTTCTCCTTTTTCTATGCTAGCTTCTTTGTATTTTCTCCTTTGTCAAATGGAAAGGAGTAAACTATAATCCTCCCATTAAACTTGTCATTGTAGGTAAATTGGCTTCCGTACAAGGATATGGACACTACAGGAATACCAGAACCGATCAAAGACACTTTGATTCTAGGGAGATCGAAAACAATGCTCATATGCTTCGACAAGGCTGAGAGACACCTACCTGATCGTTGCCTAAGGCAGTACGGCATGTTTCAACCGGTCCCAGAAGATGTTCCGCGATGGGTGAGAAAGAGTCGGGGAGTCGATGGTGGGGTAGACTTGTCTGGGAAAATGGAGTCTGAGCTCAATGAATGGGCCAGTCGTCATCTCCATATTGTGGAGGGCAGTGATGCCATAATGGACGATGAGACCGTGTACATGGAATGGTACTTGAGAATAACCCGGAAAGTGGTTGGAAGACCTATATCGCTGTCAACTGAGTTCCAGAGAACGGTGATACTCTCAAACCTAATTTACCTTCTCTATAGTGGTTGTGCAGACTTTTGTTATAATCCCGATTTAGATGTTGAAATCTGATGATTTACGGATCTAAAGAGACAAATCCTTGTCAGATTTACCATAGGGCATATTGAATCTTGTGATATTATTTTTTTTAAAGTTCATCTGAAGTAACAATTTTACTTGTAAAATCTTTGCTCATTCTGTTATGATTTACGATTATAGATAGGAAGCTATACCTTATTTGATCTTACACGTAGTTTTAGATTTAATATTTCCAACTCGTATCATATGTAGGTCACTTATTATTATATCTCGACATGTGTGATAAAATTATTCATTTGATTCTACTTCTTTTGTCATGCTATTTCTTTTATGAATATCCTGTTATGCTATTGAACATGAGCAATATTACTAGTTATGTAATGATTTAATACGTATAGTTGTTTTGTAGCGCATTAAAATCTTAATGTATCATTATATGATCATACGGTTGTGATTTTACCATACTTCTCGTTTTTACGTGAAATCTAAAATTTTGACAACCACGGTTATTTTGATGTAGTCAAAAGCGCGATTCTACGTAGAAGCAGAAAGATGGCTAGAAAAGAAAAGCGTAAAAGCGCAGAGTAAAAACGTAAGTTTTTATGCATAATGTAAAGGTGTTAAAAATATTCTAACTATAGCTCGTCCTCTTTCAAGTGTGAATAATTTATACTTCAAATAACTATCTTTGTCTACATAGAAGCGGAAAGATGACTAGAAAAGGAAAGCCTAAAAGTGCAGCGTAAAAACATACTTTCTTATGCATCATTTAAAGGTGTTAAAAATATTCAACGGAAATAAAAAAGGTGTTAAAAATATTCCAACTATAAGTTGTACTCTTTGAAATGGGAAAAATATATACTTCAAATAACTATCTTTGTCTATATTCAAAAGGTCACTATTCGTACATATAAATCATTTTGATAAGCTCCTCAACTATAGTGGATTCTAACTCATAACAAGAAGTTCATAAACGTAGAATACAAGTCAAAGTTATACAATTACACAAATCATCACTCATAAACAGCTTGAAAATTCAATTTCTTGAAATCAAAGCACACAAACGTTCGAAGTCATGAACAAAACCATACTTGTCCATCAAAGTTAGGTGAAGGAAGAAGGGATCTAGGTGTGGTTGGCAAGCAGCTGCCTCCGCACCATAGAAGCCAATCTTGCGGATGGGGAGTGTTATCGAGGACGGGTCAATGCAAAGCACTTTGTTGATGATTGCAGGCGTCATGTTAAGGCTTTAGTAAAGGAGCATAGTTTACAGATTTTTATTATTCTTGAACCGCGAGACTTGGGTTGGATAGTAGCTTTAGGGTGGAGGGAAGTAGTACCATTCACTAAGCTAGTCAGCCCATACAAGCAAGCTAACCATGCCAAGTTAGCAAGAAAGTGCTTCTTAGAGGAGAATTGAGCCCTTGCATTTGGTCTGTTCGCGCTGCCTACAGAACGTAGTTCCTTGGTAGGTCTCTTATCTTATTCATCGCCCTGGCTTTAGGCTTTCTCTACTGCAGTCTATTTGATCAACAGGTTGCCCTCCCTTACTTATTTCCTCTATGCCTTCAAGCCCAAGCCTACGTTTGCTTAGTAAGTCAGCTTGAGCTGCGCGAAAGGTTTTCTAATTAATTATATAAGAAACGCCTTGGGATTGGAATTTGGGAATGAATGTGGAAGGGGCCGCCAGAGTTGTTTTGCATTTTTCTATTTTCGATCTTATCTTAATTAGGCTGAGGCAAACCTAGACACAGTTTTTACTTGTGATATGAGCTGTCTGTCATGTTATGTAAGTTTACGAAAGTGGATCAAAATCGCGGTTTTGACTGATTTCATGTGATTGTACCACTTCTATCAGTGATTCTGTGTGGTTTTGAACACCAATAGATTTTGCATAGAATCTTTGTTGTTCTAGATGTGTAAAAGTGTATGATTTTATACTTTGAATTGTGATTTTGACTTTTGCCTCATTCTGACGCATCTATTGTATGTTTGACAGATTGCTGGGCTGAGAGAGATTGCTTATTTAGCAGATTCGTTTTCGACGAAAGGGTTAGATGGGCAACAGTTTGAGTCGATTTCAAGGATCAGATATATAGCACAGGACTGTTTGAGGGACCAGTCAGGAAATCCTGCTTCTACTGCTGTAGCAGTTGACATCACGCCAGTTGAGCTTGGGAAAAGGATAAGGGGAAAGGAGAGAGTAAGAAGAAAGGGCAGTGGGAAGAGGCGGAGAAAAGATGAACTTGTGGAAGAGTATCAGGAAGGAAGTGAGGATGAACCGTCTCAGTTCTATGGTGGAGTTGTAGAGGTTGATCCATTACATGGTATCCCTACGGTTTCGGCGATGGATGTCGATGCTCATATTCTATCTCATTTTTCTGGCGACGGTGAAAATGCCGAGATTCTTTATGATGGACAGCTCTTTGATGGAACTAGTGACTTTAAGGAGCCTCGGAATACTGATGGATTAACTAATCATGTTATCAATCATAAGCTTGATATTCCAACTGAGAAGTTGAATGACGAGGTTTCTGATTCTCAGCTATTTGATGGAGCAACTGAGAGTGATAATCTAAATAATGAGATCCATGATGCTGTTGATGAGGTTGGCGTCCCAAAGCTGATTAATGCATGTATTGTATCTAGTGATGAGCAGCTTCCTCATGCAACTGCTGGAATGACTAGTGTCTCGAAGCCTCTTGATGTAAGCAATGAAATGGAGCTTGCTGATACAATTACTGCGGTGAATGATGGGGAAAAACTCGCAGCAGAAGAAACTAGTTTGGATACTGAGTCTCAACTTCCTAATGCTGCTGAAGTGGCTGGTGAGTTGCAGCTTACTAGAGATGCAGAAATTTTGCATCCTTCTCATGTAAAAACCGAGATGGATCACTCTCAGGCATCTGATCCAACTAATGGAGGTGAAAAGGTGGAAAACTCCCATATTTATGAATGTCCACATCTTTCTGACAGTAAGGGAGAGAATGGCTCACAGAATAATACAAGTGAAGATGAAAAGGATTCTCAGCGTCCAGATGAGGACAGGAATGAGTCGACACTACCACATATTGCTGACGTTATTGATCCTGCAACTACCAAAAGTGCGGCAGACGATGTGCCTACATCATCCCCTGGAACTGTTGCAACATAACTGGGGTTTGATGGTATGGAGCTATCATTCTATGTACAGTCATATGGTAAGAAGCACTTTGACCGCTTTATTGCTGTTAATTACGTACCCATGGTCTCTTCTGTATGTTTGTGTACCAAGTTGGTTACAAATACATTTGCTTCTTTTCTGCAACAGGCTTCTCCGGTACATCTAGTTGATGCTCGAAAGTTCTGGCACGTCAGCATTATAATAAGGGTTCCATTGGGGATGCTGAAATCTGAGAGATGCTCGCTCCTAGTTTGGCTTGCATTCAGTATTTTTGTGTTTGTCTTCAGAATAGATCTTTTGCAGATGTTAAGGTTTGTATGAGTTAGCTATTTGCATTTCTAGATTAGGCAGTTGTTGAATTCTGAATTCACTGGATATCGTTTGCAATCGAGTTCTTTAGCAACATGGTTGCAAATTGCAATCGTGCCATGCTTATTACTAGTGTTGTTTGGCAAGAGTAGTTTGCTTCAAGCACGAGGAAAGAATGTTTTTTGATAACGTAGGCAGTTGGAAGAATTAGTACATGAGATTTGATGGTTGATATTGTTCTCAGACCAGGCCTTTATTAGTTTAAATTTCCATCTTCGTTTTCGCTTTATATGTAGTTTTTTGTTTCGGGTTAATTGCATGGTTGGTCACTAAGATTACAAAAAACGTTCATGTTTGGTCACTGTAAATATTTAAATTCAATTTTGGTCACTCAAATTAGTTAAATGGTTCAAGTTTGGTCACTCTCCGTCAAACTCCATTAAATTAGTCTGATGTGGCAGTCAACCCTCAAAGTTGATCGTTAACTCAGTGATGTGGCAATTAAAAAATAATAAATAAAATAAATTTTAATCTTCTACCATTTCCAACTCATTTTCACATTAAAGTAAAATAAATAAAACAAAAAAATATTATAATTACAAATAAAGGGGCGCTTCCTCCCTCTTCCTCTTCAACAACTCCATCAACTCCTCCCTCCCCGACGCCGCCATCTCCGCCTGTTAATTCCCCAAACTTGAGTTTATATACAGAGAAAAAAAAAACCACCCATGTCCAACATTAACAACAACCATAGTACTCCTCCATGGTGCTGCAACTCCACTGATTCTCTTCTCCTCCTCCTTCTCCTTCGTCACCTGATTCCCTTTTATCTGAATATAAGTTTCTTTTCTAGGGTTTTTGTATATTGATTACAGACTGCTAGGGTTTCCATAAGATCATTATTTCCCGCTAGATGGAGGAATACAACAGCAACAGTAGCAACCACCAAATGAAAACAAACAGCTCGCTGGGCGGCGGCGGCGGAGGGATGGCAGCGAGAGGGAATTTCCTGTACGCGTCGCCGGTGCTTGGTGGTCCGAATAATACCAATTCAGTATCTTCGACTTCCCCTTACGAAGAACAAGCAGCGGGTCCAGCAGTTTAACTCACTTCCACCTCCTCAACAACAATAATAATGGCAGCCCAATTTCCAGTCGGATCATCCTTCCGTTAAATTTGTAATTATAATATTTTTATTTATTTATTTTACTTTAATGTGAAAATAATTTGGAAATTGTAGAAGATTCAAATTTATTTTATTTATTATTTTTTAATTGCCACGTCACTGAGTTAACGGTCAACTTTGAGGGTTGACTGCCATATCAGACAAATTTAACGGAGTTGGACGGAGAGTGACCAAACTTGAACCATTTGACTAATTTAAGTGACCAAGATTGGATTAAAATATTTACAGTGACCAAACATGAACGTTTTTTGTAATCTCAGTGACCAACCATGCAATTAACCCTTTTTGTTTCATTACGTCACTCACAGGTCTCAAAGACTACTTTGCTTACAGTACATTGCTGCTTTTTCGCTTTGATCTTCTACTTCCATTTTTCACTCCTAAGTCGAGAATCTCCATGCTTACATGAAAGATAGAGACTAGATGCTCCTGCTGATGATCAGAAGCTCCTCGACCATGGCAGCGAACTCTGACAGTGAGGGCGACTAAGCTTTCGTCCCAACTCTGTAGCCCAACCCGGTTTAAGTAGAGGTCAAACCGTTCACATAGGTTCCGCAAGGAGTGGTCCTCTGTAGGGCTGATAAACAATTATTTTGTTAGTGGCCGTGTAACTGACAACCGAATTGAAACTAGTGGTTAATTGTAACACCGATAACCTATTGAACAGTAAACGTTCCGTTCTTGGTAGTCAAATTTAGCTAGTTGGTAACCAACGGTTAAACAGTTAGTAACCGACTACGGTCATTATCATAGTTAGGGTAAAAATAATAGGCCTCGATGAGCTGTAGGCATAGGCAATGAAATGTTTGAGGCCTACAAGATCCATTGCTTACCCTAGTTTCAAGTCAATCGGAGATCAATTGGCGATTCGGGAGAAGAAACTCGGGCATGACCTGAAGAAGAATGGATTTCTACCTCATTTTCGGAGTCTGGACGAGGGAGAAAGGAAGCATCAAAGACAGTGGAACAGGAGCAGAGAAAGAAACACGGGCAGGAGAAATACAGCTGTGTTTTGTCCTCCCGCGATCGTGTTTTTAGTGCCGAGAAAAAGCAAAGAAAGGGCTGAAACACGAACTGACAAACACGACCGTGTTTCTGCCTGCTGCTCGGGTATAAGTTTGTTTTCTACAATTTTTGGAGAGAGAGAGCTGGGTTTTGGATCCCAAACACCCAAGGGACGAACCCTAGAGAGAGAGCGACGACTTGGGATCATTCAGCCCAAAAACCCCAAAGAGGGATTCCTAGAGAGGAGAGATCTAGAGGGTCCTTGGAGCTTGCTTGGAGGATGTCACCAACCATTGAAGCTTGAAGATAAACCACTAGAAGATGAAGATGGAAGAGCTTGTGCTTTGTATTGTAATCTCTCTCCTCTATATGAACTAGACATCTTCTCTTAGGTTGATAAACCCTAGATCCAGATTTTTGGTTTAATGTTGGTCTATGTGACATATCCTACAATTAGTTGATGAATTCATTTAGTACATGGAGGGTTTTCATGGATTGCATGAGTTTGGTTCCCACTTCATGTTATCGAGCTTTTGACCTAAGAGGGATTCAATCCCCTTAGAGCCATTTATTGGCGTCATCGGGTCACTCCTTTCTTGCATCATTCTGGACAACCCCCTGAGGAGTCTATTCAATCAATTTCTTGACGGTATAGGAAACCCTCGATTGAATGGAGCACCACCATCCCTTGCTACGCCATTCCCCGTTGACACCCGAGGGAGCCTAGCTCCTATTTGTTAGATGAAATTGGGTCGGTCAAGATAGGATGGTACTCGACCTTTATCCGAATGATGGAACTAGGGGGATTTAGACATGAGAAGTCTCCACCACTTGTAATTAACTAGGTTAGTGGTTAGCTAGGTTAGTTAGATTAGTTTTCCTAATCACTATTCTAGGTTGGCTAGATAACGAAACCTAAACCCTGAAGTAGGGTATACCTAGACCCCCGTGCTACTATAATTTTATTGTTGGCTTACCCTATACTACAGCTGGTCTTCGGTTATGCTTGACCGTCGATTGGGAATGTTGTAGCTAGAGCGAACCATAGACACAGATTCAACGAAGAAAGAAAAAAGAAGTGAAGTAAGAAGGATCATATTTCAGGGTCTAGGGGTTAAAGTTGAAAACTACCAACACTAAATGACTCATTACAGAACACGATCTAGTAAATTTACAACAAACAAATCAAAGCATTACTGTAAAGGAATCCAAAGTTGAGGTCCCTTAGCTATTATATATATAAACAACGTCTCCCATAGTTTGGCACTTCCTCAGTAGTTCAACTAGCTTGAAGGTTCACAGGAAGGATTGATGACGATCTAGTGCAACATCTAAAGATGTTCTTGGAGATCGTAGGTTCTGCTTCAGGAGATGAAGCCACCAAAGGAGCCATTAGATTGAGAGTATTCCCTTTCTCGCTGACGGGAAAGGAAAAAAAGTAGTTAGACTATCATCCACTCAATACCTTTACCAATTGGGTGACCCTATCACAAGCATTCATCGACAAGTTCTTTCCACCTTGGCGTACGGAGGAGGTTAAAGATGATATCAACCATTTCCAAGAGAAGGAAAGAGAGACGTTCTGTGATGATAGGAAGATATTCCAAGAGTATCTTATGGCGTGCCCCCATCATGGATTCACCTCGGATCAAGTTGTCTAGTAATTCGCCAAATGAGAGATCAAGATACCACAATGATGGTGAACCAGTTAGTCGATGGAGATTTTTAAAAAAAAATGACGAGGGCCAATGTCAGGACCATTTTGCCACACTTGCAAGGAGTCAAAGAATTGGTCCAAGAGATCGATGAAAAAGTCATTGAAGGTAACCCAATGAAGCGAGGTGGTGAACATCATCTTGCACCAACAAATGAAGGAGCTTTCTCAACAACTGAAGGATGTCAAGATGGAGCCAAAGAAGGGACTATTAGCAATCTTGTTCATATGCCATACATGTGGAAAAGAAGGTCATGACATTAAAGATTGATGGAACCTTGAAGGAATGAAGATTGATGGAACCTTGAAGGAAAGGACATATTAATGTCAACTATGTGAATCAAGGTTGTCAGAGGCAACCTCAACGAGGATATGCCTCATACTGAAGCTACAATCAACCTCATATCCCATATGGTCAATGGCCAGCCCAAGGAAGAAGGAAGCTAGAAGATTATCCAATTATCACCTCAACAAATGCCTCTTATATTCATGATCAACAATGGAGTAAGAACCCAAACTACCGAGTATAAGAGGGCAAGGATTTTCCTCTTCATGTGGATTTTCATAGCCTTCTTGGATGAGATCCCACATATATTGAGAGTTGAAAATAGATTTCATTTTGTGTAGTCTAATACTCGTACAGTTCTCCATCGAAAATGAGAATTTGATTTGAAGAGGTGGCAAACATGGTACTTGATGAAGTTGTTGTCATGGTTTTTTTTTAATGTCTATGCAAGAAAATGAGATTTTTTTAGAATATAGAAAGGGACTTGGCTCTGATACCAAATTTTTAGGTATTAGCAAAATTGAGATGGAATTTATGATCAATTATAAAAGAAATACGTGATGTTTTCACTCAATTTAGGAAATACGCTCAAACAAACAATATTTTATATTTTTGGCTATTGTTTAATCGCGTAACAAGAAGAGCATACACATCAGAGGTTCTTTCCATTTAATTACTTCATGCTTCTTTCCAACTTGTTGTCCATGGCGACTACATAATTATTCACTCATTAATTTGGTTGGCATGCTTTCTTCTCATCTCAACCACTTGCTGCATTATTATTATTTTTGACCTGCATCGCTTGAGATTACGTTCGTCTCCCTAGCTGAAGAAATTGCCACAAGCACTTCTTAAGAAAACCACACTGCGAGGCTGGAAATTGTGTACAGTGGTAGTTCAGGGAGTTACAAGTTCGACATTGAACATCCAGAAACCCATGCCCAGAATTGGCTGATCTAACAGCAAGCAAGAACCCCGATGAGGGTAAGATCCTTCGCATTACAAACTTGATGAAACTGAACTGACTTAGCATAGCATGTACATATATAATAATGCATACCTATAATCCACAAGTACGGCCTCTTATAGTTGATCATTGCATTCAGTATCTCGTTTGCATTTACTGACATTAGGCTACTGTTGGATTGGGTAATTATCACAAAAGGTCACAAATCTTTGCACTTTGTACAAAACGGTCACAAACCTTTGATTTGTAAAAAAACGGTCACAAAACTTGAAGCAAATATCAAAAAGGTAATTCCGTCACCTTCCATCCAAAAAAACCGTTAATTCTGTACAGTCAGCATGCCATGTCACTTAAAATATTAATACAAAATTCAATAACTAACTCATTTGACTCGGATCAAACCAAACCCGGAATTAATAAAAAGAGAGTCGAATCATTCACTTTTCCTCTGCCCCCTTCCACCCTCCGCTGTTCCTCCGCCCCTATCAACCGTCGCCAGTCGCCATCTCCGTCCAGCAAGGTAGTCATTCACCCGTCTCAGTCCAACATCGCCGTAGCCTCGGCAGAGAGAAGGAAGTCGATCCCGCACCTGTCATAAAAATCAAACCAGAAGAACATCGATCCTTTTCACCGCCCCCACCTCCGATCCCGATTTTCTCAAGGAGTTGTCCCAATGGCGAGCACCGACCGCGCTGACGCCCCTTCCCCGCCGTTGCCCAGACTACCCCCAATCCCCCTGCGCGGATAACCAAAAACATTTGGCGGCCACAAATCGCAAAATCTACAAGACGACGCACACAGATCTGCCACCGGTCGACAATTTGGGGACAGATGAGAGACAAATTGGGTTAACAGCTTTCTCCCACCACACAGGCATTCCATAACTCGACTTTCCTCTTCCGATGCGTGAGAAAGAAAGGTAATTTTTGTTTTCTGGGGAAAAAAAGGAAAAGGAAGAACAAAGGAGCGAGAGTACACAAAGGGGAAGACATGCATAGAGAGAGGAAGAATGGGAATTTAAAAGTGATAAACTGAATGGGAAAAGCCTAAAAGGCGTCAAGTCTCAACTGTGAGGGTGGGAGACCTGCCACTTCATAAAGAAAGGAGTGTGTTGGGAGACGGTGGCGATTCGAGCATCGAGCAGGGGAGGTCGGAATGGGTACAGTTCAGAGGGGAGTTGGGAGACGACTATGAATCGAGCGCCGAGCAAGGGAGGCCGTAGACGACGATGTGCTTGTTGAGCAGGGAAGTGAAAGGTTCGACTCTCTTTTTAATAATTTCGGGTTTGGTTTGATTCAAGTCAAATGAGTTAGTTATTAAATTTTGTATTAATATTTTTAGTGACGTGGCGTGCTGATTGTACAGAACTAACGGTTTTTTGGATGGAAGTAGACAGAATTACCTTTTTGATATTTGCTCCAAGATTTGTGACCGTTTTTTTACAAATTAAAGATTTGTGACCATTTTGTACAAAGTGCAAAGGTTTGTGACCTTTTGTGATAACTACCCGTTAGTTTCGAGCTCAAACTACAGGTATCCAGAATTCCTACCCTCGCGCAGATCCATCTCCTTCATAAACAGTGATCCCGGCAAAGAAAGGGTCCTTGAGAAGGTCAGCAGCAGAAGGCCGTGCCTTAGGCTCGCCTATGCACTTCATGATGAAAGCCTTCACTTCTTGATCCTCTACCTTGTTCAAGGCCTGAGGTTTTACACCAGTGGTCACCTTCTTGTATATCTTGGCAACGCTGTCACATTCGCTGTAGGGTATCTCCATCGTCACCATCTCCAGCAAGCACATCCCGAAAGAGTATATGTCCACCAACTCCGTGTAATCTTCCTCGTACAGCTCCGGTGCCATGTATTCCGGTGTGCCTATGATCGAATGCGCCACGTGGCTCCTCCCCACTATTGTTGCCAAACCCAGATCGCCTATCTTCACCTGGGCATTTTATCAGGCATTTTGGTTAGAGAGTCGGCACAATTCTACCAACGAATCAAACCGGAGAAGCAAGGATTCTGATTTCTACATACCTGGCCGATATTCCCATTGACGAAAATGTTGCTGCAATTCAAATCCCTATGAATGACACAGGGCTCATGAGTATGAAGGTACACCAGCCCTTCAAGCACCTGCTTGGACCATTTCTTCAAAGCCCTCAACGACACGTGCCGATGCTTCTTCCTGTAATTCCTCAGATTCCCAGAAGTGCAGATCTCCGTAATGAAGTTCAAATTGCTGTGCTCCTCGTCAAGCCAAACGCTGTAGCAAACAATGATGTACTTGTTCTTCAAAGCCCTCAACAGCTTGACCTCCGACTGTAGCCGGTTGATCAGCACGGGGTCCTCGATGAAGTTCCTCAACCTGACCTGATTCCATGCCACCTCGATCCCTTCCTCTTGATCAAACGCTCTGTACACTTTCTTCACCGCTCCTGCCCCTAGAAGATCGTCGTACCGCCCGAACCTTCCTGAAGGATCTACCTCCACGAACAGCTCCCCGTCCCTACCGGACGTATTCGGTCCAGCAGCTGGCATCTGAATCAATGGGAAAAACGGAGATATAACTAACACGATTCATAATACGATTTCGTAGTGCCGAACCCTAGTCTGATTTGAGAGTATCGTAATCGCAACAGTCGGATTCTTAGGTGAATTAAATACCTAATCGAAATTGAAGAGACTGAAAAAAATCACTTTACGCGATCGGAATTCCCGATTTTATTAGGGCCAATTCTAGGGTTGTGAAAGGGAACCCATTAACCTAACACCAGCAAGACAGCTTGTTTTGACACTAATCGAACTAACTACCATTAGCTAGTTCGATGCGGCTTTGTTAATGGCAGCAAAGGATCGTGATCGGAGCAGAATTGTACAGGAAATCAAGGAGAGGAACAGAGTTACAGAACTTGAAACGAGAAGGTAAATGATTGATTACCTTGGAGAGCCGCGAGATATCCCGGCGGAGAACTGCGACGATGACGATGACGGCGTCGGCAGCGAGAGATTCCTTGTTCGGCAAGGGGAATGATCAGAGAGCTGAGAAGAGGAGACGATACGGCTGCGGAAATGCTTTTCAGCAACGACTGGAAGGGGTGGGGTATTTATAATCTAGGCGGGGCAGGTGTGAAGAGTTTAGGCGGGGAAGGGAATCTGGTGGAGGGTTTAGGTTTAAACGACGCCGTGTTCGAAGGAAGGAGAACGTAATGACTTGGCAAGGTCTTCGAGCACGTGGCATGTTCTTGTCGCTTCCACCGCGGATGATTAGGCTGACTCAACAAATATTGAAAATTCTTTATGGATGGGATATAATACAAAATCCTCATAAGTAATACAAAATCATGGTTGAAATTGAACAATTCCTTCTAGGTACATCCGATAAAATTGGAACGATACTGAGAAGATTAGTATGGTTGAAATTGAAGAATATGTAATTTAGCGATCGTCTTTCAAAGGAAAGTAAGAGTTTGGGGACCGCTAGGTGGTTTTTTGGGACCTAGTACGGATCTTTCATTTTTTTGGATAGACATGTGGGTGGTTAATTCGTGCGTTGATATTGATCAACCTTCAAATAACTCGAACATTACCATGTCGTGGATTGCGGATTGATAAATCTTATACCTGCACTTATTTCGGTGGTGGGTGGATTGCGGGTCATCCGAAAGACCCACACTATATTTTTACATGGCAAAAAGTTGTTTATTATACAATCGAATAATAATCATATTTCCTATCCACATTACACAATTACCATCTACTTTTAAAGGTGGAGAATAAAGAATATTTTTGGACTACTATGATTGATTATGACTTTGCGTGTAATGTCCCTTAGATATTGCAATACAAATTTAAACTATGAATTGTATCAAAGTTGCAAAATCCATTAGTTTTCATTACACAATTGGTTGCGAAGGAGTAATAAAAAATTTGATGAAAATACAACACTAATTCACAGGAGACAAAGTGGGAAGTGTTTAAATTGATACAGTCTTACTAATTTCTTAGAAACTTATTATACATGTTGGTCACCTTTCTTATTATATATAACAGCTAGTTGGAGCATTGTTATTGTGGGTTAACCCACAACCTAACCGTACCTATCTGCCACCCACTCAACCCAACCCGAAAAAAATCGTGGGTGTATAGCGAGTTACAATTATATCAACTCACTAGTACGCAGGTAAGTCAATGTGACACCAAAATCCATCCAACCTATACATTGCCCACCCCTGTTAATTATGCGACGTAACCACCTACGCAGCTTGGACGCTTAACTTGAGACTTAAGAAACGTCAAACAAATGACTATTTTGCAAACTTCATTCTACGTTTCAACTTCTTGAAATCATTCATCTTTAATTATTATTTTTTTTTTTTAATCAATAGATAGTATTATTGCACAGACCCACTTGTTTGTGAAATTAGTGGATACCAAGCCACATTCACACGCCAATAAGGAAAAGGGAAGTGAGTGGCTGGCTGCAAGTGCTGTAAACTTCACGCGGCTGGCTGGCTGGCTGGTGGGGAAGGCGATGATGCATGCACAGGCAGGCATCGGCATCAGCATCAGCGCTTTCAGTTGAAGGAAATGTGATGCTTGTGACTTCATCAAAGCTAATTTGATGTTGCTCACTCGCCCGACGAACCTCTCCAGCCCAAAATCAAACGAGATACAGACGATATCTTGAGCTTCAAGGCACTACAAATCCTGTCCAGGATCTCTGCAATCTCTTAAGTCGGAAGATGATCAGACAGACAGTGACAAATGAGCACATACGATCTCCGTGATGAGTACTACTACTGCAACAGGAAAGGTAACGATGGCGACTGTCACACTCCACTGGGCGGTTGGGTGCAACGGTTCTCTTAGGTTCATACCACCAGTACCATTCCAAATCGAATCGAATCTAACCTAATATCCTTACTCATTACTCCGTTCTTTTCGATTTGGGTATCATGTACATACCAACCTCTCTATCGTGCACGACTGAGAAACGCCACTCAAAAACACCATTTCAGTTTTCATCCACATAAATAAAAAGGCGGATTTGGGGGGTGAAACAGACCAGCCTTGTAGACTTTTCCTGATCATGCCGGGTTCCAATGCCACACGGGATGAACACATTTCCAGCAGAGCTGCTGAGAAAGTAGAAAGGAAACAGCCAGCGGAAAAGGGGAAGAAAAATAGTCTCTCGTACTGCCAAAGTCAAACGAACACCTCTATCTCATCATCACATGTTACCCGTTAGCTTTCAATGCAGACTTTCGATTGATAGAGAGATTCGCTCGCAATCAGGTTCCACCATGTTACCAGAACCTGCCAACTTCAGCATAGCATTTATGATAACACATGCCTTCAACTTCAAGAAAGGCTTTCCATTATGCAAACATTTCCAATACACAGCATCGACCATTCATTGACAATCACGAATTAATACAGTGAGAAGCGAAGAAAAGCAAAGCACAATTCAGAGGTAACACCAAACGTAAAAAAACTAAACGCAGACGAGTAGTCCAACACTTTTACCATGGAGGATTGGAACCCTCTCTCACAGAAGGCGACCTGGAAATATTGCTAGTGCCATCTCTTCCAAGCCTTGACACGCTCCTCCCGCTCTTGGGGGTCCCCAGCAAAGGACTCCCACCTCGATAACTAGCTCGAAGAGACTCATCCACAACTGACCCCGAATTCTTTGAAATCGCATTCCTCACAAACTTCTGGGCTGCAGGTGACAGCGTCCGAACATTAGGGCTAGCACTTCCCCCTCTGCTAGGGGAAGGCAACGGCGGTTTCTGCCACATCTTTGATCTCTCCCGCAATTTTCGTGCAGCATCCCTAGACAAAGAGTGAGCTTTGACATCCCTTGGAGGCGGATTCGGGATCCTGAAGTGTGGTCCATCCCCATTTCCACCAATATCAATTGGAGTGTCTTCATCCTCTAATCTCATCGGTGTCCCTTCAATCTCACCCCACGTGATGAATGGTGATTCGTCGACACCTGGAGCAGGCGATGGCGTCTTCACGAAGCTGTACCCATTCGCAGACTTCTTCAAGTCGTCAAGATCATACTTCTTCATCTTATCTCGTTCTCTATCAGACATGGGCATTGGTGTCCCACCTACAACTGGAGTGTAGAGAACTTCCAAGGTGCCATCATCATTCGGCCTAGTATCCATCATTTTACCATGGAATCTAGTGCTCCCCTTGTTGATCTCTTTGGTTAGTCCCTGCAATCGAATGGCCTGCTCTTCCTCGGTCAATGGAGCTTCACCTCTGTCAGCAGGGTGATACATGAGCAGATTCTTTGCAGTGTATTTCCAGCTTTCTAACGTACTCGGAGGCTGATCGGAAGTTCCATAACCATCAGTAATCCTATCCCGCTTTGCATCTTCTATGGACTTACCATCTTCTTCCTTCTCACCTTCCAACAAATGAGCATACTTCTCCTTCCTCTTCTTGTTGACTTTGGTTAATATCTTAGCAAAACTATCGTTATCCTCGCTAGTATACCTCCTGAGGAACTCATCTAACCCTAGAGATTCATCTACATCCGCTGGTTCATTCTCTCCAGGCTCGCCCGATAAATTAGCATTGAGAACGCTAGGAGTTGTGACATCGAATTCATCTAGAGGGGTGAAATTACGCATGAAAGTAGAACCTGGTGTCCTGGTGCGGCTTGGTCCCCGCAGAGTGGAATCGGACCCTGGATTCCCGGCCTTCTTCCCGCGGCGCTCGATGATCTTCAGCTGAGCGTCTCGTATCTGCATCGGATCTCCCGTCTTTACCGCCTCCAGCCAATCAAGACGGTCCCGGAGCTTGGAGATGTCGGGGAAGTAATCCCGCTCTATTATCTTCTCCATTGCGGCCACGTATGTGTCCTCATCGAGAACCCTCGGCCGCTTCCTGGAAGAGGAAGCGCCGCCTGATTTGGATGAGACCTGGAGAGCGTCCTCCGAGATCAGAGACGGCGACGGCGACGAGATGTGCCTCGGGGAGTGGCCCGGAGAGAGAAGCATGGTGATTTACAGCTACGGGTTGATCGGGGACGGGGGCTAGGGTTTCTACAGACGGCGGAGGAAGTTGCGATATGGATTCCGGAGAGAGACGGACGACAATTTTGACAGGGCAGGGACAGGCAATTCCGCGTATATTTTCTCGAGATTTGCAGAATGGTCCCTTCGTTTCGTGTGTGTGTATTAACTAAATTATTATAGATCAGGTCCACAATCAAGGCTATCCATTTGCCATTTGGATATGGCAAACCAGACGGCCCATTCCTATAAAAAAAAAAAAAGAAGAAACCGGACGGCCCATATTCGATAAGGCCCAACAAGTTTTAAATGAATTGACGGCCCATAAACTTTTCCGCTTTCCAATCAAACAGAACAAAAGTTCAATGATCAGTTCACGAACAAACAGTGAGTTAAGGGACTAAACATACAATTTTGCACTCTAATAGATTCCTCGATCCCCCATAAAGCCAATCATTTCTTGGAAAATATCGCACAAATGATTTTCAGCGCTGGGGCGCATAGATTCTTCCATACACCTTTACCGCACACTAACATTTCCCCTCTGGCAGCTCCTCCTCCTTCTTCCTTCTTATTCTCTCTGTGATTAATGGATTAGAGGAATTTCTTACAGCATTAAATAAACAAAACCCACCAACATAAATTCTCGAAATTCCCACGCTGCAGTGCTTGTCTCAGTTGTCTGCCGTCCTGCAAATCAACCCATCACAACAACAAAAAAACCGCTTAATCCACGAAACTTCTCGAAACTTCCCCTTCACTGGTGTCTCTTTGATCCTCTCTGCTCTCAGCTTTGGGAGCTAGCAGCTCTCACCGGAGAGAGTGATCATCGTCGCCGACGAGGTAATTGTCTTGTGTACGACGCTTATTTCTGTTACTCCTCGTATGTGCTTTCCTTTTTTTGTGTTGGTTGTTTGATTGGTGACTATTTCTCGATTCCGGGTTTCGTTGTTTGGTTGGTGGGGAAATGGTAATTGGGCAAGTGTGGCTGTGGTCTTAGCTGAGGGGAAATGAAGGAAAGATGGGATCTT